CCCATTGTAAGGGGGGATGTGTGACAATGTCTGGGAAGGGGGGGGGGCTTGTTCCACACATGAAGCTGTCACACAGATGTGAAGCTCAGCCCCCTAAAGGAGGGGCGGTGGCCAGAAACACACCATTTGCTGTGACCTTTGAACCTGTCCTTGTTAAACCCTCGATGCCAGAGATGGACTCAGGAGGGAGCCCCCCCACCCTTTTTTGTAACAGCTACATCTTGTACTTCCCCATGGCTAACAGCATGACACACACACACACACTTACAGTAGGTCTGCTTTAGCACACCAGTTGATGGAGGGTGACAGCTCCTCAACATGCCGCCTTTTGCCCTAACCCTCGAGAAGTAATGTGTGTGAGTGTGCATGTTTGTGTGTTTGCATGTGGGTAGACTTCCCCCTCCTGATCAAACAGCTGCTACCTCCATCCTTCCCAGTCTGCTCTCCCTTCGGACCTCCAACCACTGTCCAAGCAGCACGTCTATTTGATGGTAACAAGGCTTTGCACTTTGCATGCGTGTCCCTTCCACCTTGCTGTCTTCTTCTTTCTCCTCCTCTTATACGATTTTCAATAATCTAATGCTGCAGCTGTCCGATGGCCAAGCCTGTAACCTTAGTTTTTGCTCCCTTTATTGTCAGAGGCTGGCAGACTTTTTTGGCCACACATCAGGGCTCTTAGCCATCCCTATTACATGTGAGGAAGAGAGAGAAATGGGGGAAGGAGGGAGAAAAAAAGGAGAGAGGGCAAGCCAGAGAGTTGAAAAGCCTTGTTGCATCCCCACTCTACTGGTTACCAAGGGATCAACAGGGTGCTAAAAGCACTCAGGGGGGGAAGAAATTGATGTTTTTCAGAGAAAGGGGAAAAGGAGAGAGAAAAAGAATAGAGATGGAGAATGGTGAGGTCAGGAAGCTGCGGATGTATATTTAGGCTGTGTCTCTTCTCTGCTGTCACTCAGTGCTCATCTTTACAGCTGACACAAGGACAGACAATGAACGAGCTGGCAGCGAATATAAAGAGAAATGGCTTCTGCATCTGCCTCCGGTCACTAGGAAACTGGCCCCTGTGATGCCGGCTTAACCACGCGCTCCGTTGGAAAGTGTGGAGCTATACTTGAGCACTTGACTGCATAAATGTCACTTTTAACAAGCCGTTAGTTGTGATGTTCAGTCTCAGAAATCGGTCTTTCTAAAACTTAGATTTTGTCTGTGGAGATAATGAAGAGGCTTTGCTGTTGTTGGCTAAAAAAACCGACTTACCTTTGAAACATGTGGTATCTTCAAATGCACGGGAAACATTTTTTATCACTTAAAAACACTAGTGCCGGCTGTTGCTGTGGTTTGTGGTTATTTGGTGCTGATGAATGCAACATCTAGTGTGCAGGATGGTCAGAGCTGTGTGGGGATTTACTATACATGTGTATAGGAAACTCTCATTACGACCAGATTATACCACAAACATGTCCTCTTTGATTACTAACCAATGTGACACGCCCACAGCATGGTCGCACACTGGTTAGCACCGCAAGAAGGTCTTTGGTTCACATCCACCGTCTTGTCAAGGCCTTTCTTTGTGGAGTTAGGATGTCCACAGTCCAAAGACATGGCGTACAGAGCTGAAGTTCAGAGGCTGTCAGATTGGTGTGTAGATAACAACCTGGACCTTAATACCACCAAGACAAAAGAACTGGTAGTTGACTTCAGAAGGAGGAAGTCCGAGCTGCAGCCGGTCAGCATCAACGGGGAGTGCGTGGAAAGGGTCTCCAGTTTCAAGTTTCTGGGTGTGCACATAGACACAGACCTCCAATGGAGCTCTAACACCTCTGCGGTCTTAAAGAAGGCCCAACAGCGTCTCCACTTTCTGAGAATCCTCAGAAAAATGGACGTGAAGAAGGAGCTGCTGACCGTCTTCTACCGCTGCTCCATTGAAGGTGTGCTGACATATTGCATCGGTGTGTGGTTCTCCAGCTGCACCACAGCACACAGAAAGGCACTCCAGAGGGTCATCAATATGGCCCAAAAACTCATTGGACATCCTCTTCCCTGAAGGACCTGTACAGCACTCGCTGTCTCAAGAGGGCACGCAGCATTCTACGGGACTGCACACACCCAGGACACCGGGTGTTTAAGCTGCTGCCGTCCGGCAAGGACTCAAGGGCAATAGCCCTGATCAATGCAAATAGCTGACCTGATTGGCTACCTCCCTGGACTTTTTTAGGGGGGAGGTAACAATGTTTAAAACAACAATAACAATAATAATATTTATATTTATAACAAGGTGCAATAATAATTAATGTGCAGTAATAACAGTGTGCAATACAAATACACTTCTTCTTCTTTTTTATTACTAAGTTATTATACTGTGTTGTGTTGTTTGTGTTGCGTTGTGATGTGTCATATCGTGTCGTGTTGTGTTATATGTAGTACCGACGTAGGACAGTTTTCCAATTTCATTGTACTACTGTACTATGTATGACTGTGCAATGACAATAAAGACTTATCTTATCTTATCTTAGCTTAGCTTAGCTTAGCTTAGCTTAGCTTATCTTATCTTATCTTATGCAGTTATTGGGGTTAGGTTAGTTGGTGATTCCGATAGGCCCATAGGTGTGGATGTGGTTGTCTTTCTCTCTGTGTTAGCCCTGTGTCAGGCTAGGTGTACCCGGCCTCTTGCCCTATAGTAGCTGGGATAGCCTCCAGCCCCCCTGTGACCCTGAGAAGGATAAGCAGAGAATGGATGGACAAAATTCAAATAGTTTTGGAAAGAAGAGAAGACGAGCTTCACAGAGATATTCTGTATTATCACAGTAGAGGAAAAGTTACTGCTGTTTGAACACAGATTTTTTTTTTAACCATGTGTGCTTCATATTACTGTAAGAAGTCCAAGCAGCCTGTATGATACTTGGGCGATAAAGGGTTAACCTCTTTCTTTGTCTTACCTTTTTCACTCCTACATCCCTCACTTAGGGCTTTGCTCAATCTTGTGATTCTTGTACATTTTTTTACCACCGAGTTCCTTTTTTAGTGTCAATTTCACAGCTTCACACCTGAATAGACATATCACCTTGCTCTGGCGCTGCTCTCATATCTACTTGTGCCATTTTATGGTAATTTTGACTTGTCGCATTCGCACACCGCACTTGATTGCACTGGGATTTTTTGGCCAGGTGGAAGTGAAGAAGCCCTTTGCCTTTCTCCCCTGAAGGGAACGATCACAGATACAGTGTCGTCTTTCTCTTTCTTTGTTCGCTCCCTTAATTCAAAAGATCTCTCTAGTCTTTCCTTTACATAGTCTTATGTAGTCTCACCATAAGGGTTTGCAACGTATAAGCTAACAGCTTTTTAAAATGCAAATTAATTACGTGTTAGCCATGATACACTTGCGACGTAGGTTAACAACGCAAACTTGTTGAGCACGGTCACTGTTCACAGTCATCTGCTCACCAAGTGTGAAAACTGTCTTTTTCTGAAAGGCCACACGTTTCTTTGCCTCTCCATCAGTCTTGCCTTGTAGCAGAGATCTAAACCTGTATTTATTCTTGTCCAATTCCAGCCGCCCGCTCTACCCCATGGCCTCCCATCTTTATTTATAGTTTGCCACAGGTGGCCAGGTCCTTTGTGCAGAGTATACGTCAAAGAGAGAGAAAAAAATCTAGCCGTCCACCTGGGGAAGGACGGGTGGGGGGTGGGCTTGAGTTCATAAAAAAGCTTTATGAATAAAAGGCCCCGTGAGACACCCGGCACCTCGGCTGACGTGTAATTAAAGGTGTGGAGGGTGGTGGTGGAGGGGGGTGACTGATTCATTTTCATAGAAAAGGGGGGAAATAGACAGGTAGGGTGCGACAAGGTCTTTAAAGGTGGGCTGCTGATGAAATTTTCATGCCCCTATCCCACCTTAACCCTCCCCCAGAGTCTAACAAATAAATAGGCGACGGGGCCTCTGTATAGCAGAGTGAGTGCCGCCAAAGATATCCCTGCCCCTGAAAAGGGTTGAATCAATTTCCATAAAGAAACCAAGAAGGCGCAAGACCTATTTGGATGTGCTTGACATTTTAGTAAAAAAGAGAGAAAGAGGAAGGTGAAGGGTGAGGGCGGGGAAATAGCAGTGGCTAACAAAGCATTTCGGCAGATCCTCCCAAGGAGCCGATGCGCTGTCTCGATGCTGACGAGCTCACGCACGCGCACACGCACGAGGACCAGCCGTTAATAACAGGACTGAAAAAGAAAGTCCCGTTATTTAAAACAACCAAACAAAAGACTTCACTGTGCTCGACACTTGATGACGAGCCCTCCAACTAATCTTGGGTTGACAATTACATGAAAATCAACACTGTGCTATTAGATATTTCTCCCTCCTGTTCTACATGTGGGATGTAATCACTGTGTGTAAGTGGCCCGCTGAATTTGTACCATCCACATAAAGAGAGCCCAAATGAAGATTTTATCCTCCATTAAGGAGAGCATGAAGCTGCTGCCTCTTTTCCAGAGCTTAGTTAAGTCCTCGGATGTCTGCTTTCCCGTTAAAGGCACTGCCTCTCCTAACAGCACTGAAGGAAGATGAGCGAATGAAACGAGGAGAGCGAAAGACGCAGATGGCGCTCAGGCAGGAGCATCCCTGTTTCTTTAGCTCTAAACCTTGATCCCATCACCTCACGGGCCCAGCAGCAGCGCCACGCCCCGGGTCAGGCAAACCGATGGAGTCGCTGCATTTAATCACGACACCACTGAACATTGTTTTGGCTGGAGAGGGATGGTTTCTGCAGCAGCATCAGGGGCACCGTCCCTCCTGTGCTCGAGAGTCTTTGATTTAAAACAAGCTGATACATTTTTTTTTCCAGGTAATTAAATTAAAAGCTGGAGATGAGAGATATAAGCAAGAGAGGGCGAGATGCAAGCACAGCTAAAGCAATAATGACAGAATTTGAGGGTTTTTTTCTTTTTTGCTGTTGAAGCACTCATCCCATTCATCCTGTCTTTTTTTTCTTTGTCTCTCTTTCTATTAGGAGGAGGACGAGGAAGAGGAGCAAAGGAGACACGAGAGGAGAATCGAGCGGACGGAGCCAGTAGGAAGGGCCGATTCCTCACTGGAACATTCGCCGGTGTTTCATATAGAGTGAGTGGCGTACCGCAAACACCACAACCCCACCCATACGCCATGTTAAGAGTGAAATCACGATTATTGTAATGGCTGCGTACCAATTTCTTGTTTCGACCATGTGCCAGTAACAACCCAAACATCGAGACCAAGGCCTCAGTCTGTAAACGTCGTCACGCGTATCTGGGTCGTGTTGACTTGTCTTCACGTCCTTATCGGAACAAATGAACCTTCCTCCCTTCCCCTCCCTCCCCCGCCCCCTTTCGCTTATATGTTTTCAATTAATTTGTTCTTTTAGCACAACAGCAGTCTGATCTTAATCACTTAATTGGAGCCTCCATTTGGATCCTTAATCGACCCTGAGGTCCACCAGTCGCGCTTTGTAATGGATGACTTAGCACAGGCAACTCAGCGAGGCCTCCCACCAATAAGGACCCCACTCCCTCACGCCCCCACTCCTGCGCATCCCACTGACCTCATGTCGTGTTTGACTGTGCCGTCTGTTTACATTCTGCATTTCTACGTGTTGTTTTCACTTCTGTTATTTTTTAATTATCATTATTATTCATACACCTCTCTCCCACTCCCTTCTCCTCTTCTTTCTGGCTTCATCCATCGCCATCCCGCAGAAGCATGCTCAAGCCCGTCGAGGTGTCCAATGAAGGTGGGCCCCTGGGGATCCACGTAGTGCCTTTCAGTTCACATGATATCAGGTAAAAAAAAACAAAACAGACACAAGCTGAAATTCAGCGCATCTCAGTTTCACCATCCAGCGTTGCTTTCTTTTTGTTCTCACTCATTATTTCACTCGTTTTTTCTTACTTTCTCTGTCCTTTGTTCTGTCTTACATATCTCGTTTTATGTGTTGCTCAAGGCTCTTCTTCTTCTTCTTCTTTTTTTAACTGCCTCTGATTCTTGCAGTCATCTTTTTTTATTATTGTGAGCCTCGCTGTTGAAACACCACACCCAAACTCAGCACCGCTCACATCCCACAGCTTTGAAGCTCCCAGTGGTGAGGCGAATGGATGAAAGTAGTTTTTGCTCTCGACTGCACAGTTTTCTCCAGGTCTTGCAAATACTTTTTCTAACTGGGTTGTCGGTCATCGTTTTGAAACTTGCTTTGGACTACTTCCTCTTGCCTTTTTTTTCTGTCTTTTTAACTGATAGGAGTGTCGATGACAAGGGAACGAGAGGCTTCTGAGTTTCAAAAAAAAAGAAGGAAAAAAAGGGGGGACAGAGGAAGCGGTTAGATGTAATCAAACTAAAAGCTTGTGTATAACACAGATCCCTGCTGCATGCCAGAAGGAACTGGCTCGCCACCAAGGTGAATGTGACTACTCAGCACTGGAGAAGGAAAATCAGGGATGAGGTGGAAAGACGGAATGAGGAGATCAAACGGAATGACATTTGAAGGGGGAGCGGAGGAGAAAGGGGAGTGGTGTCATTGAAGGTGGCTCAGACACTAATCTCATTGCTGTTTATAAGCAAGTGTCAGGGAACTATATTTAGCTCTGACCTCGCTCTAACTCCATCCTGACACCTTGAGTCAGAGATGCAAAATAGTGATTCAGGATGAGGTGAGCCTAACGGAGGGAACGATTTCTAAAGGAACTAAAGCAGTTCAGCTCTCATTAGATGCACTGCTGTC